GAAAACTCATGTCACTCTTCGGTTTGAGAACAATGAATACATACCAGGTGTCTCGTACTTGGCTTGTAGGAGGAGCTGATCAACAATGTGTCGCAACCCACGAGCACCAGTACCCATCTTGCTGGCTTTGCGTGCGATTTCCCGCAAAGCCCCAGTTGTGAAGCGCAGCTCAATGTTTCTAAGATACGACTTGTGCTCTTCCTGTCGAATGAGACTGTCCTTGGGCTCAGTGAGTACGCGAACCAGGGCGTCTTCATCCAGGGCTGCTACTGCACAAACAGTGGGTATCCTGCCGATAAGCTCAGGGATCATGCCAAATTTCTGCAAGTCTTCTGGCTGCACATGGTCAAGCACATTGACCTTGTCTTCCTTTACGACTTGGCTGATGCCAAAAGGGTTTGGCACGTCTGACTTTGGTGGGACAAAGAAAGGTGCGTCCTTTTTGAACAACTCGGCCTCTGGACCCCTCAACATGGTACCGTCAGCGGCCGCATGTGCGCTGGATGACCGTATTGACGCTCCAAAGCCCATGCCACTTTTAGATTTTCGGTCGAGGATGATCTTGTGGAGGTTTGAGAATGCGCCGGTACATATGAAGAGGATATTGTCAGTTCGGATGTTGAAGACCTCGCCCTTACTTGCTCCGGGGCCGGGAGGTTGAGGCGTGTCCATTCTACCAGTGCCACCTGGTCTGTTGGCGCTCTTCTCTGGCTTGGCCTGCACCTGGACGGTAGTGCCCTCGATGATCTTGAGCAGGGCTTGTTGGACGCCCTCTCCGCCAACGTCCTTGCCATATGATATCTTTGTGCCAGCAATCTTGTCAATCTCATCCAGCACTATGATGCCATGCTCGGTTGCTTCAATGTCATAGTTTGCAGCAGAGAACAAACGAGCTACACATGATTCCACATCATCGCCAATGTATCCAGCCTGTGTGAAGGTGGTGCAGTCAGACATGGAGATGGGCAGGCCCAGTGTCTTTGCCAGTGTCTTGCACATGAGGGTTTTGCCTACACCTGTTGGGCCGAGTATGAGCACATTGGACTTTTCTATCAGCAGCTGGTGGTCGCTGGTGTCAAGTAACGAGTCAGGGTCTGCCGGCGAGTCCGACGCCGGCCGATACGCTGGGGCTTCGCTGAACGATTGCGGGTCATTGTGATTGTGCAATTCTACGGTAGACTGCTGGCCCGGGAACTCGTCTACTGCATTTATCAGTCGCGTGATCAGGTTGGTGGCAGAGCCAAGGCGTGAGAGTTGCATGTACCTTCTACAGGGTGGCGGAAGACGGACGCCCTCCTCTGGGCCTGGGCCTCCAACCTGGCCTGCTCCTGCTGCTGTCGCTTGAGCTCGTGTATGCGCAGATGGTGCTCATGGACCGCCACGCTCAGGACTATCTTTGCGCGGTCCTGGTCGACAACGAATTGGTCGAGATGCTGGCGGAGGACCTTGGGCGTGATGAGCCCGGCCCCGACACTGCTTGCGCCGCCCAGCGGGCCCCGGGTTGGCTGGTCCGGCTCATAGAAGGACGAGAAGCCCTGGCCGCTAAAGTCGGATCGATGAAATCTCGACGACTTGCGCGCGTGTGACAGCGGCAGGGACAGCGGCAGGCGGGTGGCGCGCGAGATGCTGTAGAGCGCAAGGTAGGAGGCGCGTGCCTGTGGCGAGACAGCAGCGGGGAGGGCGCGCTGGAGCGGCCTGGAAAGGAGCATGGTGAGTGAGATGGGCATGCCGAGGGCTTCACATGACAGGAGTCTCTGCGTGTATGTATATATAGTCGTGGGAACACCGAGCACAAGTCACGAGCGCTATTCAATAGCCCCAAGGCGGCTGTGGCAGTAACCGTGGTTGAGCGAGCTTGTGTCTCCACGTCGAGCTGAGATGCGGGGGAAGCTCCCCACGGCAGCCGATGCCGATAGTAGGGGACTCGTTGCCGCGCAGTGGAAGCGTAGCCGCCAAAGGGCTCCGCGACGCCTGTTGCAGTTAGCCCTCGCCCCTCGCCCCTCGCCCGCCGCCGGCAGGCTGAGCAGCGGAGAATTGTGCGCGAGACTCGCTGGGCATTGTGCTGCGCCCGCTGTTGGGACAGGTGGCGGGGCGCGATGCCTTATCCAGCCGCCAGCGAGCTATGACGTTGTGTCGTTGGGTCAACGCTCTTTCGTTGAGTCCTGCCCTGCGCTGGAAGCGGGTTAATGACCCCGCAAAAAGGAAATGATTTCTCCTGCAGATAGCCTATGGGCCTCGTGTTTTTGCCATTGCTCTTTTAAATAGCTGCGCAATTGCACAGTCGCTTGCCGCTGTCTTGCCCTTGACAGCAATCCCCTCTCTGTATCCTTTGCGCGCCTGACAACGCCCCATCCCACCCCACACACACGATGGAGCTCAACCAAGCTGCAGCAAACTCGACGACGAGCGATGCACCGGGCGAGATACCCAACGATGGAACCGGTACGCGCTGCCCGTGCCCATGCCCCGCGCAATTGACTGATCTGGCTGCTGTCCACAGGCATCATCAAACTCGACGGCTATCTAGAGCCCTTCAAAGACTCCCTCAAGCGCCGCTTCTCAAAGGCCCAGGAATGGATCAAGACAATCAACGCGACAGAGGGCGGCCTGGACAAGTTCTCGCGGGCACGTAGCGTGTCTGTCTCGCTGCCGTGCAGTCACTGACCAGCTTGCAGGGTTTCGAAAGGTTCGGCTTCAATGTCCAGCCCAATGGCGATGTCGTATACCGCGAATGGGCTCCCAATGCCCTGCGGGCCTACCTCATTGGCGACTTCAACAACTGGGACCGCGATGCGACGCCCATGACCAAGAACGACTTCGGTGTCTTCGAGGTCACGGTCCCTAACAAGAACGGCCAGCCTGCCATCCCCCACGACTCCAAGATCAAGGTACAATGGTTATGCATCCTCAGCCCATCTCACAGCTGACAGAAACAACCAGGTCTCGTTTGTAACACCCAACGACCACGCCCGCCAGGAGCGCCTCCCTGCCTGGATCACCCGAGTAACCCAAGACCTGAGCGTCTCCCCCGTATACGATGCCCGCTTCTGGAACCCTCCCCAGAAGTATGTGTGGAAGAACCAGCGCCCGCCAAAGCCCAAGAGTGCGCGAATCTACGAGGCCCACGTTGGTATATCCTCACCCGAGCCCAAGGTTGCTACATACAAGGAGTTCACACAAAACATCCTCCCACGAATCCAGCGCCTGGGATACAACACTATACAGTTGATGGCGGTCATGGAGCATGCCTACTATGCCAGTTTTGGATACCAGATCAACAGCTTCTTCGCTGCAAGCAGCCGATATGGTCTTCCAGATGACCTCAAGGAGCTCATTGACACGGCGCACGGCATGGGCATCACAGTGTTGCTCGATATGGTGCACAGCCACGCATCCAAGAACGTACTTGATGGCCTGAACATGTTTGACGGCAGCGACCATCTGTACTTCCATTCTGGTCCAAAGGGACGACATGACCTATGGGACAGCAGACTGTTCAACTATGGCCACCATGAGGTGCTGCGCTTCCTTCTCAGCAACTTGCGCTTCTGGATGGAGGAGTACCGTTTTGATGGCTTCCGATTCGACGGAGTCACCAGTATGCTGTACACTCATCACGGCATTGGAACGTGAGTATGGACAGTTTTCCTATACCTGCATATACTGACACTCTTATAGGGGCTTCTCTGGTGGCTACCACGAGTACTTTGGCGATTCAGTAGACGAGGAAGCAGTCGTCTATCTCATGCTTGCCAACGAGCTATTGCACAACCTTTACCCTGACTCCATCACGATCGCTGAAGACGTCTCTGGTATGCCTGGTCTCTGTGTGTCACTCTCCCTGGGTGGCATAGGGTTCGACTACAGATTAGCCATGGCGGTACCAGATCTTTACATCAAGTGGTTGAAGGAGAAGCAGGACATTGACTGGGACATGGGCGCCCTTGTCTTTACGCTGACAAACCGACGCCATGGCGAGAAGACCATTGCCTATGCCGAGAGCCACGACCAAGCGTAAGTCAACTCCAACATGTTCACAATTACATGCTGACACAACACAGACTTGTGGGAGACAAGACACTTCTCTTCTGGCTCTGTGATGCACAAATGTATACCAACATGTCAACGCTCACGGAGCTGACACCTGTAATTGACAGGGGTCTGTCGCTGCACAAAATGATCCGATTGATCACTCATGGCCTCGGAGGTGAAGGTTATCTCAACTTTGAGGGCAATGAGTTTGGCCACCCAGAGTGGCTAGACTTCCCCCGTGAAGGCAACAACAACAGCTTCCACTACGCTCGTCGTCAATTCAATCTCCCGGATGACGACCTCCTCCGTTACAAGTTCCTGAACGACTTTGACAGCAAGATGCAGTGGACCGAGGAGAAGTACGGCTGGCTCCACTCGCCACAAGCCTACGTCAGTCTCAAGCACGAAGGCGACAAGGTCATTGTGTTTGAGCGCGCTGGCCTGCTGTGGATCTTCAACTTCCATCCTCAGAACAGCTTTACCGACTACCGTGTTGGTGTTGAGCAGGAGGGCACTTATAAGATTGTACTGAGCACCGATAGCAAGATTTATGGTGGCCACGGAAACGTGGATGAATCAACCAGGTTCTTCACTACTCCGTTCGCCTGGAACAACAGAAAGAACTTTTTGCAAGTTTACATTCCCAGCAGGACTGCCATTGTAAGCCACGCTTCTCTCGCTACAAGTACATCATACATCATGCTAACGAATAACCAGGTCCTTGCTCTTGAAAACACTTTGTAGACTGCTTGATGTTAGATAAGCGATATCAGCCAGAATGATTAGCGGCATTTATTATAGAGCGAATAGATATGCAATGAAATGATACCAGCTCCTGTCATCAACACATTCTTGGCTATGATGTAGCAGAAAGTAATGCGCATCATGTCCGAGTTACAAATCGTACCGTCGTGCTGGTTCACGCTAAATTTTACGTGCATGTTGGGTGATGAGAATTGGCGGGGCTAATGGTTGAACCGCGGAACGAAAATTTCTCTTCCGCCAATACCGGTGTCATTCGAGATTGGATAGCGGGAGAACTTGAGCATCGCATAGTTTTTGTGATTCAAATCTTCACATCAATATATTTTATAAAACTGAAAACCTCCATCGAAACAGCAATAGCCCGGCTAGCTCAATCGGTAGAGCGTGAGACTCTTAGTCTTTCACGGTCTAACAGACACGATTACTCAGTACATCTCAAGGTTGTGGGTTCGACCCCCACGTCGGGCTTGTACGTTTTCTTTTTTTTGCTCTCATCCAGTCCTCTTTCATGCATGTTTGAAGCAAAATATTGTTTTTTTTTTGTTTGTTATGTCGTTGGACTGAAAAGCACTTGCTGGGTGATTGGAGAAACGAGGAAATTTGTTTTTGTTGCATTTGACTAGGTCAAGGTAATTCAAAAAGTTTGCGATGCACGAACAAGTTTCTTATTTTGAGACTCTATACCGTGTATAGTTTCTATACAAGAATCCAACAATTGTCTACATCACTTACACCCACAACGTCTATCCCCTTGCTCTCGCCTTCAACTTCAACACGCCATCATCTTCCTCGCCACTATCCTTCTTCATCTGAGCCTCAACCATCCTCCCAATATTCCGTCCATCCTGCATAACACCACCTCTGAGCAACTCGGTGATGACTCTTCCTCTGACAAACGTCTCGTCGACCAACCCCTCGACATGCTCCGGTCCCACACGTCCATACCATACACCGGCCCCACCAAGCTCATTCCCCTCCATACTCGGTGGCACATACATGATGACATTTCCAGCATACTTGTGGCCCCCGATATGACTGATAAGCCCCACATCTGCATCCAGGCCTCTCCGCTGAAATTCGCTGCGAAACGCAGATTGCAAGAGCGGGCCTAGGATTCCGCAGCGCTGGTCGCGGCCGCCGTGGCCGCAGATGAAGACGGTGGGCTTGGTTATATCTTGTGCTTCTGGGAGGGAAGCCGCTTTTGATTCGTCGCGGGTTAGATTAGCTTTTTGCGCTGCGGAGAGGTTGGTGTGCATGGGGTGGAGGGATTTTGCTTTGAGGTATGCGGTTGCGAAGTTAGAGAGGGAAGATGGGGTGTTTGGGAGGTTTTGGATGCGCTTGAAGCTCGGGAAGAGGAGTGCGGTTGTGGCGTTGGGTGTGGAGCTTTTGGGGAGGGAAGAGGCGGTTATGAGGATGTTTGTGAAGGGCTATGGAATACATTGTTAGTATTTTATGCTTGTGGGTTCTCTTAAAAGAAAGAGGGACGGATTTTTGAAAGGGAAATTTTGTCATGGAAAAAACGGACCTACATCAAATCCAGGTGCACCTTTTCCTATTACACTTTTTAATCCTTGGACAAACTTGCCCGTCTCGCCTTCTTCTTGCTCAATGTTGCTGACCCAATCGTCTTTTCCCGTGCAGAACACAACTTGCTCCGAATATGGAGCCATTGTGTTTAGTAGCGGTGTCTTGCGATCGATGTCCAGGTCTTTTGGCGCAGAGGCGCATTCGCAGGTTGGTGAGGGACATGTTGGTGTGTATGGTATCGATGAGGATTGGAGGCGCAGGCGTGTGGTTGAGAAGGCGCGGGTGGCGCGTGGGGTCAGCGCCCTCGGAAGCCGAGCAAATGCCATTTTTTTGGTTGAAGATCTATGGGATGTTGAGTGTTTTTTATGCTTGGAGAAATAGTCTTCGGGAGCTTGTGATGCAGGGCTCGGAATCGGTTCCGCGGTGATGACGACGGAGGGCTCGGAGATAGCGGAGCTTGGGGTCGGCTTTGAATGAGTTCTGCGAAGGGACATTCCTACGTATAATTGATAGACAAGATCGATTTTGCTCAAAGATTTACACAAGTTGTGATTATTGAGGCTAAAAAAGTTAAACAAATATCATTGGGGAAACATGGTTCTATTCGTGTTCTAAGCTACAGACAAGAGAAATACAACAGCCATGACCGTGAGTGCTGCTTCAGATGCATGCGCGGAGCTCGAGCGAGCTGCAGTAGATTCTGGAACACGGCTTCCCTCAAGAACGTTGTCTGGAGCCAGGCAAACTGCCTTGTTTTCAACGGTACCATCTGAAGATTTGATTGTAAAGAGCATGGGTACCACTTGGTGAACGTTCTTATCGTACAAGTCAAAGTTCTCGCGATCATTTCCGCCGCCATAAACAGCCACAGGCAGATCACCGTAAGTTCGGTAATCTTCTGGCAAGTCGATATGGGGAAGCCCAGTCAATGTGCAGTCCGTACTGGAGAAATTTGATGGAGAGCCTTTTGCATTGTTAAAAAGAGTTCGTACACAAGATACAAATGGCTTGGAATAAAATGCCTTGTCAAAAAGGAAACAACGAAAAAGGACATACGCGATACCAACGGAACATTTGTTCCACAGGCCTCTTCGACATCGCTCGGCGTGTGGCAACGGCCATCCCGAATGGACGGGGTGTTATGTATCAAGGATCTCATGCACTCATCGCTCAACACACCAGTACAATCTCCAGCTTCTTCCTGCGAGGAAGGGTCCCGTGGTGGAAGCATGAACATACAATATTCAGTCTGATTGTCTCGTTGACTTCCCGCCAACGAACTAGGAACACTGAGGAAGCCTTCCAGCTGTTGCCAGGTTATACTGTCACCATAGACGACACCACGCTGGCGCCTATCGGTTATGGTAAGACTGACATACCAGGGCTCACGTGCCGACCCATGAGCTAGACGAGCCGTACCGGTCGAGTTGATAGGAAATTCGTCACGGGCTATGACTTGGATAGGGCCACTGCAGCCTCGTACTGATGAGTCGTTGAAGACTTGGGCAGAGGCCGATGTGGAAAATAGTAGGTGTGCTACGAACAGCAAAACGACGTTGATCATGCTAACAAACTTGATAGAGACAAGAGGTAGTAAGGTATGAAGCACCAGAATACGGAAAAGAGATTCTTCCCTGTTTACGGGGTGTCCATGCTGTTGTATATCTTAGCCACATCACAGATGTCATATGACGTGGAAGTGTCCCATCGGAGTTGGCAAAGAGGCGAAGCATACCACAGTCTGTGGGAACCAGTAAATGGTGCTGTTCAGTTAGGCTCCATCAGGAGGCGCCTCGCTTACGCCCTAGCTGTCCATCAAGGTGCACGGGAGGTGCCGTTACCCGAACTAGCCAACGGACGTGAATAGTCACAACGAGTTTGCTTTTTACTAGTGGAGTACACCTTGACTTATTACTCGACAGATCTGCCTTGATGGAGGGTATAAATGGGAAACAGGAGGATCCATGACTTGGCAATCTGGCTCAGTGTTTACAGATTGAGACTCTTGGTCCTTGGCCCTTGGCAGTATTCACTCTGGATTAGGCCCCCATGACGTAGGAACAGGCCTTTGTGGACCTTTTACGTACCGTATCATCGAGATCGTGAGAACTATTGTAGGATCTGCAACATGTCGCCATGCCATCTGATGCACTGCCTTGATGCTGAGTGTTATTATTGTTATGGATCTGTGAAATTGAAGGTAGCGCTGTCTGGTTCACCTAGTATTCCTCCTGTACAGGCGCCGCTACAGCAGGGGACTTCTATCGTTTATCTGTTGTTGCTAACACTTCGTCTATTTTCTATCTATTCTTGAAATCCACTTGGAGAATGTACTGGATTCTTGAACAAGGGAGGCTGGCATAGACGCTTGAAGCATTGTCCATCTAACTGAATCCTCTTGACAGGCAGGACATATTGAATGTTCAAATGGCCCCCTTACCATTACCCATTCAGTTATTTGGTAGCATCAGAAGGCTTGGGTGTTGGCCTGATGGGAAACGAAGGATTGATCTCAGCAATCGACCAAACTCAACAGTGACGTCGAACACAATTCCTAGCTCTGATAGCCATACAGAACGACGATGCTATTTGAGACAATCAATAAGCCACACGCTTAATCGGAAAACACGGATTGTGGGGCTAAAAGGCGGTCTCGATTTGATAGTTGCGAAGAGCAGAATGGGAGTCAGAAGGTATAAAGAGTCGAGTGGGTTTGCTCACTTGCCATCATCACAGCCAGCAACCCAGTTCTTTAGTAGATTCCTTCACCACCAAGCAAAAGATGCAGTACCTTACGCTCTTACCGCTGCTTGCAGCCATGACCTCTCGTCCTGCTATGGCAGCTCCATCCCGCCTCATGGCTCGCCAGGAGGACTGGGACGGAGAACAAACTGGTGGCATCTTCTGCGAGTCAAGGCTGCAGCCAAACTGGGGTGACTGTAAGTCCATATCCCCTTTCCTGACCCGCAAACCTTGTCATTGTTCGTATGGAGTCTAATCAATCTTGAATTTTTTTTGTTGAACAGGCAGCACCATCATGGATGGCAACTCGTACTTTGGCGAAGTTGATCCAAACCGGAGTGTCTGCATTAACCCAAGAGCCTGTCGTATCTGGACCGAGGGCAACTGCCGCATTTCGTTTTGCAACAACGAAAATTTCGAGATTTGCAGCCCTGCCGGGACGTGGGGCGATAGAACCAGAAACATTGAATCCGAGTGCAAGGACTCCGACAGTGGCGGCTACCAATCCACTCCACCTCCTGAACCCTGGTCCGAGGTTGCTATCAGGCTCAACACGGATTGGCGCCTTCTGCCTGCAAGCCTCGTTTATGAGGAGATGTCTACCGAAGAAAACAAAGTTCAGATGCAAATCTTGGATAGAGAGGCGAATGGGTTGGAAACCCGAGTACGTATCTCGACAAAACATCTCTTTTATATCCATAGAGCTAACCACATGAAATACAGCAAGCCGACCGCTTCTCAGACGTAGTCACCAGAATCAATGTCTACAAGCCCGGATCAGCCGTCTTCGTTGCTCAAGTTCCAAACGCTGGTGCTTACGAAGTTACAACTTCCAAGTCAGAGACCTTCTCCATCACTGCATCTTTGAGCCTGGGTGCAAGCGCATGGGATGCTATCAGTGCAGAAATTGGCGTTTCTGCTAGCTTCGAGACTACCATAACCAACACCGTGGCTGTTACGATCAATATCGATTGTGAGGGTGGCACGGGTCAGGTGTACTGGCGCCCGTTCTTTGACGAGTATGAAGGTACCCTTGAGTCGAGTGGACAACAGGTTACGATCTGGGTTCCCAAGGATACAGAGGCATCTCGCATGAACTACGACTACCAATGCACTGGTTAAGCAGTGCGAAGTTTAGCCTATCGGGTCTCTGATCTTTGTATATCTGGTAGTCTCGAGTGCCGCAGCACATCTACCTTGTTAGGCTCAGCTAAAGTTAGTCCATGAAAACCCGGTAGGAGGAGACTTCAAATCCCCCCCCCCCCATTATGCTGATTTCTTGGTAGCTAAGTAGACTGTAACCCTGAATGTTTACTTAGCCATAGCTAGATACAATGTACACTTGTTATGCCCC